GGAGAAAGAAATAGAATAAAAAAAAAAAGTTTAAAGGACGAGAGAAGTAAAGGAGAAGCATAGTAAGTGGAAAGGGGAGCAATTAAGAGTAATAGAAAATAGAGAGAGATGGAAAGTAGGGGAGGGAGGTAAAGGGAATGAGAAGAGAATAAGAAAAGGTAAAAATGAAGCAAGAGAAGAAAGGAGACAAGAAAAGAGGAAGGATAATATAAAGGAGAAGGAAGAAAGAAAAGATAAAGAATGAGAAGGGGGAAAGGTTGAACGTAGAAAAGATGAAAGGAATTAGGAAGAAAAGAAACGGTGGATAGGGAGACAAAAAGGGGACTAAGATAGTGAAGGAGAGGATAGATGAATGGGCGAGATAGAGAAGGAGAAGGAGAAGGATGGTGTTGGAGAGATAGATGGGAGGAGGGAGGTGGGGGAGGAGGAGGGGAGGGGGGAGGTGCCAAGTGGGAATGATATACTTGGATAATGTCCTTGGAGTGGGTGCCAGATAGGAATTTAAGTGCTGGTTGTTAAGAAGGAGGAAGAGGGGAAAAGGTCATTTTAACAAGGGAGAAAGAAGAGAGAGAGAGAGAGAGAGAGAGAGAGAGAGAGAGAGAGAGAGAGAGAGAGAGAGAGAGAGAGAGAGAGAGAAAGAAGAGAAGAGAGAGAGAGAGAAGAGAGAGAGAGAGAGAGGAGGAGGGAGGAGAGATGAGAGATAGACAGAGAGAGGTGGGAACAGAGGGAGAAATATAGAAAATGTGAAATAGATAGATAGATAGAAAGGTAGATAGATAAATAGATAGAGAGAGATATAAAGATTTATGAATAGATATACAAACAGATAGATAGAGAGAGAGATAGAGAGAGAGACAGAGACAGAAACAAAGAAATAAAGAAAGAGAAAAGGAAAAGAATAGAAAAGAATGCAAAACAAGAAATCCAACAAAAGAACTGGTAATAAGATTAAAGAAAAAAAAACAAATAGAGAGATACAATATAACCCCCCCCAAAAAAAAAAAAAAAATAATAATAATAATAATAATAAGTATAGATAAATAAATAAATAAAAAGATAAATAAAAACATTCAGAAAACCCATTAGACAAGACAAGACGACAGCAGGACTCACCAGCAGGGCATCCCCCAGCAGCGAGAGGACGAGAGCCTGGAACACCACCGCATCCTCGCCGCCTCCTCCTCCTCCTAATCCTCCTAATCCTCCTCCTCCTCTCCTCCCCCTCTCCTCTCCTCCCCCTCCTCCTCCTCCTCCCCCTCCTCTCAGCATGTCAATCAAAATGACGACAGGGAGACACTTGAAGAACATCGCCTTGAGGGAAGACAGCTCCGACGGGACGAACCACACGAAGGAGGCGCCGACGGAGGCCAGGAAGACGAGCGTGTGGTGGTGAGGAGGCCCCACCCACGTGGGCGTGGCTCGGGGGCTCATGCTGCTGGGCTGGAGGGTGGGCTGGAGGGCTGTGGGCTGAACGAAGTGAATGTAGTTAGTTGATGAATTATGTATGGATAGATGGATGGGAGAGAGAGAGAGAGAGAGAGAGAGAGAGAGAGAGAGAGAGAGAGAAGAGAGAGAGAGAGAGAGAGAGAGAGAGAGAGAGAGAGAGAGAGAGAGAGAAGAAGAGGGAGAGAGAGAAAGAGAGAGAGTAAGTAAGAGGGAGAGAGAGGGAGAAAGAGAAAGAGAGAGTAAGAGGGAGAGAGATAAAGAGAGAGAGAGAAGAGGAGAGAGAGATAGAGGGAGTAAGAAGAGGGAAAGAAAGAAGAGAGTAAGTAAGAAGGAGAGAGAGGGAGAAAGAGAGAGAAGTAAGAGGGAGAGATAAGAGAGAGAGAGAGTAAGAGGTAGAGGAGAGAGAGGAGAGAGAAAGAGAGAGAGTAAAAGAAAGATAAAGAGAGAGAGAAAGTAAGAGGGAAAGAGAGAAAGAGAGGGAGTAAGTACGAGGGAGAGAGAGAGAGAAAGTAAGAGGGAAAGAGAGAAAGAGAGAGAGTAAGTAAGAAAGAGAGAAAGAGAGAGAGTAAGTAAGAGAGAGAGAGAGAGAGAGAGAGAGAGAGAGAGAGAGAGAGAGAGAGAGAGAGAAGAGAGAGAGAGAGAGAGAGAGAGAGAGAGAGAGAGAGAGAGGAGAGTGAGAGAGAGAGGATAATAGGAGAGCGGAAAATATTGTATATGCATGTATAAACGAGATCCATGAAAGATAAATAAACACACATACCTACACACATAAAAGAATATAAACTCGACTCCATTAATAACAAATCACTTTACGTCCTGTCCTCGGGCCCGGAGTATAACAAAGGCCCATATATGCATATAACGGCCCGTTATATTTCCCCATCCCGTGTGTCATATTCGCAATAATGCCTTGATTCATGCTTGACCAACCCGCTGCAAATCATCGTTGAGTATAGCTGATGCTGTAGAGTCTACAACGGCATTAATACTATCCTTTTTTGTTCAGGAGTGTCTGCAAATTATGTGTTTGTATGATAGGGGTATTTCGCCTGCTGATATTAACCAGTGGATGGGCTGACTGTCTACGCATGCGCACGTGTACATATGCTTCGACTTCTGTCTATTTATTTATCTTTCTCTGTCTCTTCCTCTCTATCTCTCTCTCTGTCGTTCTCTCTCTCTCTCTCTCTCTCTCCTCTCTCCTCTCCTCTCTCTCTCTCTCTCTCTCTCTCTCTCTCTCTCTCTCTCTCTCTCTCTCTCTCTCTCTCTCTCTCTCTCTCTCGTTCACACATACACAAACGCACACACACACGATTCAGTGCAACAATAACATCAACAGCAGAAGCGGTACTAATGACGATGAACAATAATAACCTACAAAGACAATAATGATAGTGACAATAGCTGACAGCATCCGTAAAACCTCGAACACTCAGGACCATTACCGATATAAAATCCATTGACAAAAGCAAATAAATACCCGAAAAATAAACAGACTAGTTCCCCCTCGAAAAGCGTCACGCCACATATCTTATCGCCACGTTACCATAAAGGTCATTTTTACGACATTGTTCCCTGACCATTCGCCCTTATGGAATAGGTATCATGAGTTACTCGTATGCGTTTTTTGTGACTGTCATGAACCCGGTCCGTTTTCTTTGCGCGAATAGCTGTTAATACTGGACTTTATCATTTATATGGTAGTTTATAGGTATATGATTCCGCTATTATATTCCGGTAAACAGATTTAACTACCGGAATCATTGCAGTTATGTTGGTTATTTGTGCTGTATACGTTCCTACTGTACTCTCCCCTTACGAAAACAAAAACAGAGTGTATGTACTATTTCTTTGTTCGTTGAGACGTTGCTGGCATACGAAATCTTTCATTAAATACAACAAAATAATACATATACATATATATCTCTTTGTTCAGAAACGTAGCTATTACACATAATCATAAAATATAACTAAATAGATCTATATTTTCAACACCAATATTAACCCATGCAATATCCTTTTCATAACACCTTGCCTTAAGTATATCAACATCATTTCTAAAAAAAAAAAAAACTCACCGTATTGACGTAGAATAAGCACAAAACACTATAGTATATTTACAAAAAAAACACACACACACAAACACAATTTCAAACTGGGACTAAAATCGCCTTCATGGAACACACAACATCAAGACTCATGATACAGGTAGTGTAAAAGAACACATGCTGAGTTGTGTAGGTATAGTGGAGA